CTTGAGACACATTCAGGGTGTGAGACATTGCACCATGAGCTTCTGCCCAAGAGACATCAGATCATCTAAACACAGGTGGATTTATTTTGTACAAAGACGTTGGGTACCTTTGTGCTGCACCACCTCACTCTTCCATTTATTATCATGGATGAAAGGATATAGATTCACCCTGAAATAATAGAAACCTTCTGAAGCAAAATCCTGTTTTATTATCATAATTAGGATTCATTCTGGTGTAGGATACAAGCCATGCACCTCTTCTGAAACACTTTGGGATGTTTGGAGTGACAACTTGTTTAAAGCTTCTCTCATGCTACACAACACTACATATATGTTTATGTTATGAACAGTTGTTCCAAATATTTGGATGTATGAAATTATCCCTGTGCTTTCAGGGAACCACAGAGAATACAAGGAGAGAGTTGAGACTTAGAACTAAGATCATACCTTAGAGAAGTATCATTTATCACTTACCACCTATGTCTGAAATCAGCATAGATGTAAAATGGGATCAGCATTGTAGGTAGTCATAGCCTAGGCCTGTACCTTAATTAAAAGACATTATTCTTCAATGTTAGAACATGAGAGACTGATTAGAATATTAATTAATAAATTGTGGAAAGTGGATTTATTTTCTAGAAAGCCTGTAGAGTTGCTGACAGAGGAGGCTAAGGGATAGAGGAACCATTTTTTAAAATAACTGAAGTTATTTTTTATAATTTCTCTGTCCTTTGTTTTTAAAAAAGACCATTTAAGACTGGTGTGTTTGTCAGTACCTCACTCTGCTCTGCTCAGCAAATAGACAAGATGAGTTCAAAGAAACAAATTCACTTTCTAGTGAAGACAAGATATTGTTGCTGCTAGTGAAAAGGAGATGATGCATGGACTCATCTGGCATCAGTGAGCCTCTAGCAAACTTCTGCCTTAGTAATAGAAGTTTTTCTCCTTCCCTGCTTTGTGTAGCATGCTGCTGGGAGTACCCTGTTTGGCATTTTCATCATACTTCTCTTTCTTTTAGTCAGAAAGGTTTTGTGTCTACTAGCTTGGGTCTGAAAAAATAATATTTGTGATCTTTTGTTTTTCTTTGATTCATCTTAGTATCCTCGCTCCACCTTCCATATCAAATTGTCTTAGTTCTTATTCAGCTGGAAAAGCAACCTGCTAGAACCAGTTTTTTCATTATGATAGTCAGGTTCCTCTAAGAATATTATTTAACAGTACTGTAGGAAGAAAGTAATTTTTTGTTTGAATGTTTTAACTATGTCTTCACTGTTAAGGTGCAGTTGAATGTTTTCTTTTTCTATTTTGTTTTGTTTTGGTTTGGGTTTTTTGTTTGTTATTTTATATCTCCATAAGAAAAATGAGAAAGGAAATGCTATTTAGATTTACAACATTTGGAGGACAAAAAATAGGACAAATAAGATGCATTCACATTCTCTGTACTGTTAATATTCAAGTGTATATGTGCAATAATTTTTTTACCAATCTGCCATACACTCAGGTGTTATAAATTCAGTACAGTGTTTCCCAATACATTTGGTTTTGGAGAGGTGTGAGGAGGCAGAAGCCTCACTTCCTGTTATAGTAGTGACTCCAAGAGCAATGATGTGCTCTTTTCATTTGAAAGCTATTCTGTCTGTACTGTCAAATGATCAGTCTTAGAGCTGCTTTTTAAAAGCTGTTTATCAACACAGCTGTTAAAGGATTTATACCACATTAGTGTACACTCACAATGTACAGGTTTGAAATAATTTTTCAGTATTTTTCCTTTCAGCACATAAAGCACTGGATTCATCTTGTATAACTCCAGTCTTCAAAATGAGGTATCTGGAATAGGAATATAGGAGCTATATTCAGTAGGGACTGAAAGGCACATGGGAAGGGCTTGAATTTCATAAAGTAGAGAGCAGCAGCTGTCTCAAAACTAAATCTTTTAAGAAGGTTAAGATATGGAGGAGTCAGTTTCAACAGTCAAGCTTGAAGATTAAATTTAAGGACATGCAAATCAAAATGCTTCACTGTGGTTCTAACCAGTATTGAACAGAAGTGTAGGATTAATAGATGGGGCAGGGAGGCCAGGTTTTTCCATTGTGGGAATCCAGGACATCCCTCTGGCTGCCCTGGAAGGTCTGGGACCCTAGCAGGGGGTCAGGAACCCCCCTGGACAGAGCCCCAAGAGACACTGTCTGTGATCTCTGTCCATGGAAAAGAGTTTTCCATCTTACAGGATGAATTACAAGCTCTTAGTGTTTGATATAAGTAATAATTAGTGTGGCACGGGTGCAAAAGTAGAATTTTAGGATTCTAAATAAGGGGTTCAAAGGAGACAAGATAGAAGAAATTAGGTGTGCCTTGTCTTCTTCTTCATGCCATCCATGTTTCACTATAGTGTTAACACTTTTCTATTAGTTTAAACTAGGGACACACTGTTTAACGTAAGTGACAGATATTAGCACATTATTGCAAATATAGCACACATAGTTTCTAGTATATAATGTTTGTAACATCCCTCTAAGGGGCAGAGCTCCACACACTGTCCTGCAACAGAGACCTACAACAGGTCAGACAGAACATGTTATAGATAAGCAAGAATAAACAACCTTGAAAACCAACACAAATTAATTACCACTTCTTTTTTTGCAGCAAAGCTGAAAGACAAAGACTTTCTACATTCTCAAGATCATTTAAATACCATAAATTCTGACATTCCATTGTTTTAGATAACTCTCCTAAGGTGCTGCTTGTAGTCTAATGCTTAGTGGAATTTGGGAAATCTGTATCATTAGGTCATATTTTAGAGGAATCCTGAACACAACATAGCATGAGACAGGCCATGGTGATTTACTAGATAAATTTATCATTGAGTGAAAGTCTGAGTCACAAAGGTTGGATGTTCATTTCTGTTTTAGTGGTGGAATGAAATACAGAAATATGATCATCAGCATCTGACCTAGTTAACTGAAGAGTTACCCAACCTAATTGCTAGTCATTCAGTGTGGAAAATCTGGGCAAGAATAATCTCCTTGGAGTTTTTATGTCTGTCTTCTGAATAGATAAGAACTGATCATAGAATGATTTTGTGAGATGAAGAAATCTGCTCAGTATACTTTAACTCTCAATTTCAAAGGAAAATGGTTAAAAATAACAGAGAGGAATTAATGGCTTGCAATCTAAGGCCCCAAAATATACCTATCTAAATGTAGACAATAACTTCTTGTTTTATATTCTTCTGAAATATGATGTTGTTATTCTATTTTGTCAAATGTTTATCGATAAATATATTTGGAATGTGTTTTGCATTTGTGGCTTTTTAAGGTTTATGTACCTAATTGATTACTGCCAGGTAGGAAACTGACTATACACAGATGTATTTGTGTATTTACTTTCATTTATGGTTGACTGAAATTCAATGTGTTATATACAGATAGCACAAAAAGTGGTTGGACACAAATAAGCAAATTCAATAATTCTGAAGGCATCTTCAGAATCTGGACTTGTATAACACATTGCAGGGTTGTGACACTTATTCTGGTCATGACACTGAACTGTCAATTGAGACTTGTCCTGATAAAGGCTTGAAGATTATAGGGCCACAACTCTAGCATAATTAAAGAATTGTGTCATTGTTTCTGTATTTATTTATTTATCTACTTACTTAAGGCTATGATTTTCTCAAACATTGTCTAATAATCTTTTGATTAACTTCTGTGGGCTCAGAGCAGACTGAAAATACCTGTCAAAACTTGGGTACAAATTCCAAACCTAGTTTTTTAGAGCAGTAATTTATCCCTAAAAAACCCTAACCAACCAAGCAAGTCAAAAACCTTCATACATAATGTTGGTCTCCTTGAGTTAGATAACTATGTCCAGCAGAAACTGGATTAGCCCCTATATGTCCTAATGGAGGTCTGAAAAGACAAGCATGTGTCTTTTTAAGGCAATTATTTTCTTGTGCAATTATATGTAGCTGTAAATTTAACTTGGGCATTGACTCTTCATTTCAGGCTACTGTGGGCTTCTAATAGTGTTTCCTTTTTTGAAGCAGTAGTAGAGTGCTTGTACAACAGCTTCAGTGAGAGATATTTGGTGTGTGTTATGGTAACAGATGAAGCCTGCTTAGGGTAATATGGCCTTACAGTCATGAGAATTATTATTCTGCATTTTATAAAAGAAAATAAAGCATTAAAGAGTTTTAATCAGTTGTTTAATAAAATTACTTATTGTCACAGAGATTTGCTTGAATCTGCTAAGAGCTGCTTTGAGATTTATAGTTGTTACTGAAATGGTAGGAGAAAAACCCTGAAACACATTGCCTGAACACTTCTCAGAATCAAGTCAAAAGATGCTTGCAGTTAGGTAATAACTACCCTGAAATGCTGACCAAACTGACTTGTCAGGAGTGTGATTCCAGGAGTGCATCTTCCATGATGTTTTGACTGAAGTCTGGAGTGCAGAATTTAATTTACTTTTCATACTTTCATTTACATCAAGAAGAAATTTTGGTCCACATGAACTGCATGTCAGGACCTCAGGTTTCACTGTTCAGATTTGTCCTACTGGTCCCCAGCACTTTGTCATGCTGAAGGCAATGTGGCCTTTAGGGGTCCTGCTGCACTGAAGGTCAGATGAACTGGACTTCAGATGAAGAGTCAGATAGCTGGAGAAGGGACCCAACTTCCTTGTTTGTATTAGAGCTCAAACTAGTGTCATGAAGTTAAAACTTACCTAGAATAAAAAATAAATTTCTGACAAAAAGTAAAAAAAAATCGTTTGTCACAGTATTTTCTTCATTTTTTTATGGTTTTTCAGTTTATAATTGTCCCTTCTGTTCCTAGTGGGGGAAAAAAAAAACTCAAACAACAAAGAGACAGCATCATCAAAAAAAATTAATATATGGCAGTAATTCTCTTTTAGTGTTTAACATCTTGATTAATACAGTAACTGGATTAATGGCTATTGTTCACAAGATAATTAATTTTTATATTTTTCTTGTTTGATAGGTGATATATGCCCTGAACACTAAGAATGATGAATATGAGGACAGTATACAGGCTTTGAGAGAAGCTCATGAAGAAGAAATTCAGAATATTCTTGCTGAGACAAGAGAAACTATTCTCCAGTGTAAAAGCAAAATTGAAGAAGAACAGTTACTGAGAAAGCATATTCAGGCCCTTGAAGTTGCAGTAGCACAACACAAGAGATTGAAGGAAGAAGCCTTAGCAGAGTTAATACTGTGTAGAAAGCAAGCAGAAGAGGAGTCAAGAACGAAAGAGAAAAAAGCACAGACAGGCCTTTCTACGGACACGGTAGATAACACTGCAGGCTTTGAAAATAAACTTCCACATTTAAATCGGGAGTTTGATGGACTGCTCCATGAATGCAAAGCATTAAGAGGAGAAAATCCAGATACAAAAGTAAATTTAGATGAAAAATGTAGCATGGAAAGGCACTCTGTAATGAATGAGATGGAAAACCTGAAGAGCAAAAATCAGAAAACCTCTGAAGAATATACTCAGAAAACAAGAAAACTGCAAACCCCTTGTGAGACAGAAGAAGAGACTTTGAAAAAAGCCATGCAGCAATCTGTGCTAGAAACAAACTGCCAACAAGGAGAAATGGAGCAAAAGATGAGCTCAGAGGCTGAGGAAGGCTTTTTGCTGCAGCAGGTAAAGAAGCTGGAAGCAGACCTAGAGGAGAAAAGCCAGAAGATAAATGAGAGGAGGAAGCATTCCCAGAAGCTGAAGGAGCGAATACAGGTAGAGTATGAGACTGTAATCCCAATCTCTGCCTGAGAAAGTGAAAATTATAAATTCTTTAAAATTTGGGAGAGGAGGGTCTTTTAAAGATCATGGTGATACAAATGCTTTTTAAGTAGTAAAGCAGTTTTAGAGGCTTAGAATTGACATAAGAGTGATATAATGCTGGCAGCTTTAAAGAAAGAGTTAAGATGATTAGTAACTCATTAGGAGAACACTTTGAACACTATAATTTGTATTCCTTGAGGGAGGAGTGAAGTAAAACTTATCTGTTGGCTGAAGAGAGTTTTACTTTTTCTGCCCAGAAATGTGACAAGAACAATGATCAGTCACTGCTGCTACCAATGAATGTTTACAGAGTACATCCTCCTTTTTCCTTGTGGTTGCCAATAGCTCAGTGCATGGATATAAAGAGGGTTAGATATGAAACCGGAGCTGGCAGTTCAGGAATCAAGTTTTTTGTATGACTTTTGCAGCAGTGGCTTGTACCAAGTGCCATTTAATGAAGTGCCTTTACACTTGTGAAGTTTTATGTGCTGAGCCAAGCAATTTTGGCCATTGGTTCTCACCTTGCACTTTGCCTGCCCACCCTCACTGCTGTGTATCTCTGTGTATCTATACATCTGCAGCACAGCTCAGCAGACCCTTCCTGGCTGCATCATGTGTCAGATGCAGTTTCAGAGGTTGGCATGTCATGGGAAATCTGCCAAACAGCTGCTTTTGGTACATGAGGTCAGAGTGCAGGAGAGATGCTTATGCAGAGTGCTGAAATTCAAGCACCCAGCCATGCTCTGTGCTCAACAGTTCAACTTCCTTCTGATACTTTTGGTCCTTTATATCACATAAACTCACCTACCAGACATGCCCCCAGCCCTATGGCAGCAATTTCTATATTAGACAAGAAGTAAGGCCTAGACTTTGAAGGTCTGGATTTGGAGTATTACAGAATAACAAAAATTGTTTCCTAATGGGAAAGAAGATTTTCTTCCTTTAGAGGAAGAGAGCCCCAGAATTCTGCAGGGAGCAAGGTCAGCCCAGTCAGCTGTGTTCTTCCAAGGCAGCTCTTAACTGTTTTCACCATCTGCCCTCACATCTTGCTTGCCATTATTGTTTTGCTGATGATGCAGAGTTCTGAGCTACTTCTTTGAGGATGTTCTTAGAGGGAGTTTAGCCTTTAATACAGTTCCTACCTATTTGTTTTACAAAATCAGAGGATGAATTGAATACACCTTCCCCAACATTATTCAGATTTCATTTTCTCAGTGTGTAGATCTGTAGCAGAACAACCTCTATCTTTTACAGAAAAGTGCAGAGGAGACAGTGGCAGACATGCAGATAAGCCCTTTGTTTTTTATTGAGTCAGTCTGTAATATCTATTTCAATACTAAAAAGTATCCTGGCTGTGTAGAAATTGGAAGCATTAGAGGGAAAAAAAGAAAGCAAGATTTTGATTTTTTTTTGTGGGTACATTAGGTGATGTTCAGGGACAATTAAGAATAAACACATGAAAATTTATGCACAAGGTTTACTCTTCTGATTTATTGTATAAGAAATGCAATAATTTAGGAACAAATTATGTAAAATATTACATTATTTGTGGAAGTGGAAGATGAATTACATTATTTGTGGAAGTGGAAGTAAAAGTAAGTAAGTAAGTGTCATTAGCAACTTATTTTCTAGATTCAGTATCAAGTGGATAAAACTGAAATATTTTCTGAAGGACATATGTTCAACTCGTAAATTTCAAATTCTCTAAGTCTGTGGAATGAGGCTGATTTGCATACCACTTGAGCATATTGCTTTGAATCTTTTAAGAGATACCTTCAGACTAGGATAAATCTGGAAGGAGGAAAAGAGTTTGACATGATGTTGTTTTCTATTTCTTTACAGTTTGAACAAAAAAAATTTAAAATTTCTCCTTTTTAAATTGACTCTTTTGCCACCATTAAATACATTTTTTTCAGACTTCTATGGATGATGGCAGGCAGGGCACTAGAAACACCTTCTTAATCAGAAACACCTTTGAGCATTAGTAAATACTAGCAGGAAAAGCTTTAAAAGGCTTGAAAGGTAAAAGGACTGTTGATTCAACAAGATGAATTTTCCTCTTTTCTCCTTAGTGTATGCCAAGAAGCTTGAGACCTTGATGCATTATATTAGTACACATCTATTATTACTGCTGTAAAAGGGAGAATACAAAGTTTGACAAATCATTAAGTCTGATCTGTTCAGTCTAGTTTTGGAAGAATACTGGCATATATGCCAGAGGTAAAAGTAACAAGCTTACCTTGAAATTTTGAGCTACAGAGAGTGTTAAATACTATTAATAAATGTTAGTTTTAACCCTGATGTTTTACTTGACATTTATGTAGGGAAAAAAAGGCAATTTTATCTGAGTGAGTATTGCAGTATTACACTAGACATCTGAAACTGCAACTAGAACCTCCAGAAATAGAACATTCAGTATGGTTCAAATTTTTTCCATTAGTTATGGAAAGACAACTCCCAGCAAAGTCTGTAGGACAAAATTTTTTCTGAGTTTAGGCATCTGTATAATGGATTATGTTACAAACTGTTGTATTTCAGCAATTGAAAAAACCTAATTAATATTAATTAAATTTTGGCATAAATTGTCATGAAATTATTAAAAGTATAACCAATTTTAAGTTTAGGATAATCTCAGACATCTTTTAGATGGTAACTATTGATGGGTATTCACTTTACAATGATGCCAATTATGTGTAAGGGAAGGGCTCCACATCACAAATATTCTGGCAGCAGTGACAGTTTGAGGGTATGGAAGAGCAAAAAAGGCAAAAAAATGCATTTAAACCAGCTCTGTAGGTGATTTATATCATGGAACACCAAGAGGGAAAATGACCATTTATTTCTTATTACAAGAAAATTACATATGTAATAAACGTGAAAGTAATGTCGTGCATATTCTAGGATATGGAAGTGTAGCTTAAGTGAACACAGCAAGAAATTCTGGGATCAAAATGTATAGTGAAAAAAGAGGAAGAAGATCTAAGTGTAGTCAAAGAGAGAAATTCACATCAAGAAAAGGGAATCCTGCATAAAGCAGGTAAGATGCTCATTAATGTCATTCTAAAGTATTTCCCATGTTAGTAGTCATTGATATTGGAAATTCTGCAAGTTATTTATGCTACTTGAAATGTAAATTTCAGTACCACAAAAGATATAGAAGTGATATTGAATTCCCAAAGCAAAGCTGTTAAAAAAGTAGATGAATTGAAACATCAAATAATGCAGCTCCAGCAAATGATTTGTACCAGAGAGAGTCTAAGAGCAACTCTGAAGATGTGCAAGAGCTTTAACAGGTGATTTGCTCTCAAATATTCAAAGACATGCTATGCCAAAAGTACTGAAATCAACGTCAGGGTTTTTTTTATGCTTGATGGCTTTATTGTACAGGAGTCAATCCTGTAAAATTCCCAGATCCCTGAGCTCATTCTGTGGAACACTCACTTCTGTTCATAACCTGAAGTGCATGAGTTTCTGTAAAGACAGCAAAGGAGTCCTTGGGCACGACCAGGGCATGGTGTTCAACTGCTTCTGTAACCAAATCCTTAAAGAGAACAATGTCTAAAGCAGACTTTCTCTGCTGATGTCTGGAATACTGATTTATTTATTTTTAAATACAGAAAATGGTCATTTTGAAAAGCTGTGCAGAAATGATAGCAGGAATAAACTCAGTAAAATCAGGAATGTGTGCATCCTGAGAGTACCCTCTGTACAGTATCTCCCCTTAAGCAATTGTTCAGCCCTGAGTCTTTTCTATACTTTTTTTTGTTCTCTTTAACTATTGTTAAGATAGCTTTTAGGAAAATTAGACTTGGCATCACACTCAGCAAATCATCTACTGTACTTTTTTATGGGACTAAGGATGTCCTTGAGGGAGCCTGCATGGTTGGAAGTGAGTTACACCCCCAAGCTCAAACCAGAGCAGCAAAAAACTCCAAATCATTCCTAAACTGCAGAAAAGGCTGAATCAGTACAGTTTTACATTTTTAACTAAAATAAAGCCAATATTTTTCAATGGGGTATTACCATCTAAATAACATTTTTACTGCAAAATAGACTACAGTGACCCCAGAGTTCTACCCTGGGGATTTTTTTGGTACAATATATCTAGTGTGTTTTATAGACTATGGAAACTGTAGCTGTTTACAAAGAGGGTATGAATAAAAGAGAGAACTTTCTTTGTGAAATCAAGCATCAGTCCTATAAGGAAAAGATTTTTCTGAAGGAATAGCTGTTAAAAGCAATAGTAGATCATGTAATGAAGGCTAAAAAGGAAATCAGGCCAGTCTAAGACTTCATGGAATCTGGAAAAAAAACCCCAAAAAAACCAGAAGGTAGGAATGTTCTTCTATTTATAGATGCTTTAATTCATCTGGTTTTAATCATATTGGTCACAGCAACATCATTTGAATTATGCTCACTCTAGGCACTTTGAATTAACATAAAATGCCAGGATTTTCTTGCTACAGAAAAAAATCAGAAAAAGAAGAAAAAAAAAATAGTCAGACTGATTTATTTCTGTGAAAAGCTCCAAAGACATAAAGGTGAATTTATCCTTGATGGGATAAATGGCCTTCTTACCAATAATTGCCCTTGCATTCTTTGCATGTGGTAGTTGGAGTGTTTTATAGAAGAGCCTTCCTGAAGAAGAATGTATTGTGGTTGCTATTCCAATTTCTGAGTTAAATTTTCATGGATTTCTGCTGTGATAAAAAAATTTATTTAATCAGAATTTTGTATTGATTAGGAAGAGGATCTAATTCTGCAAAGTGCTGGTAAATTAATTCAGAGTGCATGTGTTATCAATGTAATTGCAACTATTTACAATGCATACATATATGTGTATATATATGTATATATATATATGTATATATATATGTGTGTGTATATATATATATATATATATATATGTATGTATGTGTATATATATATATGTCCTTATTTAACTTTAGTCAGAATGATGGCTCATCTTCATGTAGATCCAAACAGCTTATTTGAGCAATACCTTTATTTCAGTGTGTTTTAAGTGGGTAAGATGTTATTTTTGTTGTTGATATGCATCAGCAGCAATTGGCTTAACAGAGTCTTCAAAGAATTAAACTTTCATCAGAGCTGCTGTCTGTGACTGAATCCTTTGGCTTTAGGAAATTTGCTTTGTTTTCAATGTTTTTGTGTAGTAGGAACCTGAACATGAGCTCAATACTGTTCAAAGGGAGGATAACTTTGAAACATGTATTTATTTTAAGCATGTTCTTCAGTGATTAGTAGAGCTCACAAATCAGTGCATGTCTGTGATTTGCCAAATTTGAGCATAAGCTAAGCGGGGGGGAAGTTAGTTTCTGTCTCCTAATGGACTTCAGTGTTCATCAAAGATCTTCTAGACAAAAAAAAGAGGGTTAATTTCAGCAGTTTGTAGAATGGGACAATAAGGCTACTGGTCAAGTGGTTTTTAGACCCTTCTTGGTGCTAAGAATGAACCCATTTTCTGCAGTCAACACTGTTATAACTTTCTGAGTTCAGTGTTTACTTGAGAATAATTAAACACCTGCTGGCAAGTTGTGAAGTCATAAAAAGCAAGCAGCTGCTGTCCCTAGGTGTTGATTTTCATAGTACCCAGTCTTGGAGACTAGGAATTGTGTTTAGTGCTTGCCAAAAGAATTAATGTCCATAAAACTGCTGGAGATTTTGCATTTATACAATCTTATTTCTCAAAATTGAACCCGGGTGAGTAAATGGTTTTGTCTGCTTGTGGAATGGCTCACTATGATCAGTAGCTGAAGATGCAATGCTTCAAGGTACATAGTTACACTAGTGAAGCCTCATGGAAATTAATTTGCCTTTTATATAGTGTATTCTACTTATTATGAGCTTGTACATGTATTCTTAAAATTATGCCAGGCTGAGGCTCTTCATATGAGTCAGAATAAATTTAATAATTTCATACTTTAGAAAAAAGGCATACTATTAGACATTTATTTTTATAGGCAATAAAATTTAATTGCTTATAATAATATCTTCTTAGAGAGTAATATTAATTTAATCTGAAAAATATTGAATTAGCAAAACAAAATTACATTTTTAAAAATGATTGATGCAGTTTATATCCTCTTATTCAACTAAGGCCTGTAACAGGTGTCAAGGAAGTGTTATATCTATTCTTCCAGATAAAAATAAGATACAGAGAAGAAAGTTCAGTTGACAGAGTTGAAGAGGGAATGTTGCACCTGATTTTCACATTTTACTCAAAAAGACAAATCTGCTTCTTTTTGTACAAACAAAACTAAAGCTAATCCCTCCCTTGCAATATTCATGTATCTGTTTAATTCCATCCTATAATTGCTACCTAAGTTTTACACAGGGGTGTATGAGAAGGAGCTGTACAGGATAGGGGAGGTGTTAAGTAGTTATTTTTTTCTGTTTCCTTCTTTTGTAGTGCCTGAAGACACTGTAGAATGTTTTTTTAAGTTAGCAAATTTGTACAAATAGGAAGAGCAAGCACACTAATGAATTTGTATGTGTATCATTGCAGGAAGTTTCTAGAAGTTGGACATTCAGTCTTTCTACAAGCAATTGCTAACATTGGCTATGAACAATTGCTACAAGCTCTTGGTCACTGTCTTGCAACTGATGCTCTCATTGATTTTTGAACTATTTCCAGAAACATTGCAATTTTATAATCCTAATTTTTTAAAATTATAATTTTATTTCATTTTTACTTCCTCACCATTATTTTCTTTATTGATGCTATCAGATATTGCTTCCTTTCATTCTCTTTCCACTAATTGCCCATTAGTTATCTTGTTATTTATATGGCCAATGTATATTTACAATTTTTCAGATTTTGTGGGTGACTCTTGCATACTAAATTATTTTTGAACATTAACACCACTCAAGACAAAACAGTCTGACTCTTCATGCTGTACAGTTTTACACCTTAAGGAAGTTTTCATAGAAGATTAGGATAATGTGAGCTGTATTGTCTCAGTAATATTAGAAAGAAGCAAACCAAATTGTTTATATGTTTTAAATTAAACAACAAAAGTAACATTAAATGATACTAGCATGTACTATTGTGTACACTGCTGTATTATCTAGGTTAATGTAGAATAAGAGTGTTCTTTTTCATGATGCATGTTTTGTGCCATCTATTGCATACTCTTGTATTTTTATTTTTTTTTTTTTATTTTTTTTTAAATTTTAGGAGCTCCAGGCACAGCTAGATGAATTTAAAAGAAAATCCGAGTGTGAACTGAAGCAACTAGAGAAAGAGAAAGAAATTCTAACTGGGAAACTTCAAAACTCTTCACTTGAGGTAAACTGGGCATAAATGTAATGCAGTAATAAAAAGTCTTTTCATTTTTCACCCCATCTGAGAGATTCTGGATTAGATTTTAATACTATTTGTTGTGTCTATCACTCAATAAAATATGTAAGGACTCCAGATAGAAATAACAGAAATAACTGCTTCTAAATATCTATGAAGATTTTGACAAGCCTATTTATTTCATCTATTACTCTTTGGAGATGTGCTAAGGTGAGGTGTTTGGCTGTATCAGGGTTGCAGAGCAACTCTGTTTTTTGCAGGACAAAGTGAGATTATAATCTTCCTTACAACTCCTGTTAATTTTCTGATTATTTTTTAAATCATAGAGATGTGTCTTCACTGATTCTAACCAGTTTTACTTCCCTCAAGTTCAATGGTTGTTTGCATGGCAATAACTCTGCAAAAGATGAAGACCTAGATCTTCTTCAGTTGACATTTGTAGCCTCTCAGTGGCCATAATAAATTCTTGCTGAGTGACAGAGGAAGGACAGATAGGCTCGTGAGGAGGCTGAGCAAAACACTGTCCTCCCTGTACTGCCTCCACTTTCCCACATGCCATTACTTCCCCTTGGTGTTGTGTTCCAGTAATCAGGGCATGGGTTGTGCTCGTTTATGGTAAGCCACACCTGTTTTTTCTCCCATCTGTGCTACACTAGCTGTACTAGTTATGAGTGCAGCATGGGTTTTTCTTTTTCATTTCTCCTCTAAAATATATTTATACATTCTGTTATCAAACAGTGTCATTCTGACATTCTATTTCCCAGTCTTACAAATACATAATTTAAGTGTAGTTTAATGTTCTGAAACTTCTGGCTATTTTTAAGTTTCATTATACATTTCTGCATGCCACTGTTTCCTACAGATTTTTCTCTGAGAGAATTTCAGGTCAATCCAACCTATGTTGGCCTATTCAGAGTGAAAGATTTATGACATGGAGATTTATTCCATAGGTTTTGCAGATGCAAAAAATAAGGTCGTGGACAAACAAATTACTTTTCTTGAAATCACATGTTTTGAAATCACATACTGTTCAGGACAGTAAAATATGAAAGAAACTTATGTTTTCTAACTGCTCATCCACTCCCATCGCAAGATCATGGTAAATTAGCAAAGAGTGCTGGAAAATTATTGCCACTATAAACATAAATAATATTAAATAGTACATAGTATGCCATATATTATGTCCACAGAGCCATTGTAAATATGAACAGATACACTAAAATCATTTTATTGTATCTTAGAATCTGACTGCTCTGGAAAAGGAACAAATGCTCCATTTGAAGAGAAATTTTGCATTTTTCTTGGTTACTCCAAAAGTTACTTTCTGAACTAATTCTTGGCAATATTGCCAGGGTAGTGAAGTCATTTCAATTTGCAATAGCTTCCTGCTATAGGTACATGAATATTCACAGCCAAGAAAGCACCATTTACTATATAATGTTACGTTTCACTGAGGGCGTGTTTCCCATCTGGGAGCCTTTGCAATGGCTCAGCCCAGAGTTTCCGCCTCGAAGGTTAGGCAGTGTGCTGTTACTAATCCACTCCTAACCTGGGTACAATTTCAGATCTAAAAATAGCTTCATTGGCTGCTTAAAACCTGTTTTTGGTTGGACTGACATAGCTGGAACACTATGCAGAGTAGACAGAATAATGATAATTTCATCTCTCTGGGGCTGCACTTCAAAGTGGCAGTGCTTCTGTATTAATAAGATTTTTATGGATAAGGAAATCAGACTTGCATCTGTTTGGTCATTTGGAAGGAAAGATGGGAGATCCTGTGTGGGTTGAATGCTAATTCATTAGGGCCCTCCAGTTCCTTGGTTTTGAACTACAGGATCTCTTCTTCAGCATGTGTTAAAGGATCTTGGTGCCACAATATAAGAAAAACATGAAGTTATTAGAAAGTGTCCAAAGGATGGCTACAGGGGTGGTGAAGGATCTTGAGGGGAAGCTGTATGAAGGGCAGCTGAGGTCACTTGTTCTGTTCAGCCTGGAGAAGAGGAGACTGAGGAGAAGCCTCATTGCAGTCCAGAACATCCTTGTGAGGGAAAGAGAAGGGGCAGATGCTGATTTCTTCCCTTAGGTGACCAGTGACAAGACGAAGAATGGCCTGAAGCTGTCAGGGGAGGTTTAGGTTGGATATTAGAGATAGGCTTTTGTCCTAGAGGGTGGTTGACCACTTCAATTCCAGTGAAGTGGTCACAGCACCAAGCCTGACAGAATTCAAGGAGTGTTTGGGCAATGCTCTCGGGCACATGTTGTGACTCCTGGGGATGAGGCTGTGCAGGGCCAGGAGCTGGACTTCTATGACCTCGGGGGGTCCCTTCCAGCTCAGAATATTCTAGGATTCTGTTCTTTTCTTGAATTAGAAGATACGTAAAGTGGAAGTGCAAAGATCAGCTTGTCATGATACATCTTTGTACAATGCTAGCACAGCAATGCCCGGAGTTTTTATGGATCTTGAAGATTCCACCAAATAGCAGCCAAAGAACACGATCAGAAATTCCTCTGGTCAGGAATTAACACAAGTTTAGGAATATTGTTTACTGTGAACTTAATTGAAGTAACTCTGAAATAAGCCTAAAAAAAAAAAGTAAAATACAATTTATTTTGTTTTTACTTATTATGCCATATTGCTGTTTATGTTATGTTAGGTAATGTTTGCATCTCTGAGATCACTTTATGCAATTCTGGTAGATTAAAGTGAATTAGTAATGGAATTAAAGTACAGTTTTTTAAGAACTTTTGTTTTGCAGCAGGAGGACATTATAAAACACAAAATCCCAGAGTGTTGCTGCTTTGTTAATAACGCAAACATCCAAATAGATTCTGGTCTGATGTGAGCTGGCATGGTTTCATTGGCTTGAATGCTGTTTTGCTAACTTCAGCAAATTGAAGTTCTAGCTATTTAGAAGTCAGGAAGTGCAAAAAAATACTTGGGCCCTGCATAACATTCCAGAGAAGGATTTTCACTGGTGGATTTGAAAACCTTTTTAATTGCAAGACAGGAGGAGGAAACCTAACAGGATGGAAATGCTTGTTTCTTAACACCTGTTAGAAGTACCAGGATTCATGAGAAAGAATTTCTTTGTATGCCTGTAGGGCATACATCTCTGTAGGGCTTTTCTCCTTAATCACTGAAAAATAATGGTTTTTAAACTACTTTTCCATCTGATTTCTTACTACATTGTGTTCCCAGCTTAGCCTGTTTCTATTTAGTATGATCTTTTGTTTCATGTTAGAAGTCCTTTGGGCCAATAATTTTCTGTGAAGAGTTGGGGAAGTTTATAATGTTGTGACCACAGATGAGGTTTATATAGGCCTCTATTCATCTTTCCTGCCGAGATGACTAATTTGCTTAAGAAGTATTCCAAATAAAGTTTCTCCTGTTTCAGATTTTTCTATTGTAAAATATACAGCCTATTTATCTGACACATGTTTTCAGTCCCTTTATTTTCAGGAAGACCATTAAAAAATGCATACTTGAGTGTAGTGATGCTAATACATATTGTGTCAGATGATAGGGGGGCTGTACAATATTAACTCTTTCACATCACAGGTTAGTTTTATAAGGAACTGCAGTACCTAAAAACTTTAGTGTTTCCTTTCTTTATATAGGAAAAGTTTGGCTTGAGTTCAATAGGTATGAAGACAAAGTAGTTTCTTTTCCTGTAACCAGAACCCAAAGTGGCCCTTTGATTAAATCTTATGATTTACTACATATTTCTTTAAAAAGTAATTAAAAAAAATAATCTTTTGAAACAAAAGTATGGTTGGCAAGTGGCTCTAGCATCTGCCTCTTCTTGGAGAGTATCCAGGCCACAGACAGATCCCATTACACAGATATATTAAAGACAATTAATGTTTTTCATTACAAATAGTATTTGGCAATTATTCTTCATTAGCTTGATCAGGAAAATTGGTTTCATTGGATAACACAATAGAAGAAGCCAAGAAACAACCGGATGAACAGTGAACTTAAACTCAGTCTGAGGCAGGTGAAGCTAGGTGCTGTTTCAAAGTAAATATATCAGTTTTGCTGGATAGCTTCAGCAGAGCCTTAGGCCTGCCTTCTGGTTTGTGCCATACTATGGATTGCACATATTAGATGGAGATGATTTGAAATTTTTAAAAAGTACTTGATGAGTAACAGACAGTATATGCAAAAAGGTTGTCATTCTTCACTAAAAAAGGGCTCCTTGCACAAAACAAGCATATTGCTATTTTTCATAGAACAACAAAAGCTCATAAAATGTATTCAACTTTACATAATTCATTTCCATTGTAAATGCAGCCATTAATCCTATCTTGCTGACTTACTTTTCTGGAAGGTGGCTCAGCTGAAGCAAATATTAGAACAACAAGCAAATAATTTCAAGGAGTCACTGAAGAAACATAATCTACAGTCCAACAAAGAAAAAGAGAAGCTTTTGCAGGATCTTCAAAACACCATTAAAGAAAACCAAAATGTTAAACTGCATTTGGAGGCATCGCATCAAAAAGTCTTAAAAATGTTGGAGAAAAGCAAGAATCAGGAGCTCAAGGTCAGTTTACTGCGTACTAATGTTAAAAAAATACGTATATTTGTGGGGTAAACCATCTAAGTGAGAGTCTATTATCAAAACTCATTACCTTAACTTAGTTTAATGGTGGTTTGCTATTGTTGCACATCATGAATTATTCTGTGATTCTGAAACCTTCTCATCATCAGGCTAGGAGGGGTGGGTTGATTGGTAGTTTGTGGGATTTTTGTTTTGTTTTTTAATATTTTTAGTATTTTAACTTAGAACCACAGTGTGAATATAATAGACCCTACAGTTAGGCTGCAATGAATACAAGCTCCTTTATCTGTGCACTTGCTTCAGAAATACAAGGCAATTCCTGAGTGTATTAATAACAGGACTCAGTTTTATTATTTTTCATACATTATTAATTTATACATAAATACTTAAGTATAATAGACACATATTGTGATGTGTATTACCTTATATACCTTCAAAAAATCAATTCAGTAAGTGGATAGCCAAAGCGTTTAAAAGTTCAAGTGAATTGATTTCCATGACAAAATGTTAATGCAATATACTGAAGTTCTAAAGACTGTTGCTGTCCAAGAAAAAATCAACTTGAAAAATGTACATGTGACATGTCGTTTAGATGTCCCTGTTGGTTCCCACAGCTTAGAGGACTTTATGAAACATAGGTAATAAAACCACCCTAAGTAGAATTTAATATCTTGTTTATATATTCCAAATAAAATTCCAGTTTTGACAAAACCAATCTGAAGGCTTGTTTTTGGCAAGTGAGTTGGTAAGAATAAAACTGAGGACAGGAGTTTGCTTTCAGAACCACTACAGAGCAACTGCTCCATCATTTAGAGTGTACCAGCAGTACTTCTAATGACAGTGGAAGCGTGACCCAAGAGTGGTACAAGGAAAGATAGATGCTTTTGTCTGACACACTGTGATAAGTAATGACAAGCAGGTCAGATCTGGGGGCCTTTGTATGTTGAATAATAAAACTTGCTTTCTAATGTCTAATAGTGCAAAGATATCGGTGTTATTATTTCATCATGCTCAACAAATCTAAAACATGATGCACTGATAATTTATCTTGTACCTATTAAGTGTTAATTTTTAACTTGAGCTCATTTTTATGCTTGCATTGATAAAATGCCTTGTAAAGTGATGGTGAAAATTAAAGTTCTACAATTAAAGGCCAGATTCACCCTAGCATTACAAGTAAAATGACATGCTGATAAATAAACTCCAACTACTTTGTTTTGGGGGGGATTTTTGCTTACAGGAGGCAGAAGAACGTTTGAGAAAGGAATTTAATGAGACTTTCAAGATCCAACATCAGTCTCATAGGCTGGAAATACAAACCTTGGAAGAGAAAGCAAAGAAAGAATTACATGATGAACTTGAGCAGATACAAAAGCAGCAAACCCTGTTGTTAGGTATAGTGTCTCATGTCATGCACAGTTCCTACTGCTTGATTATATATATGCTGAGAACCACTGACTTTCGTCCCATTCATTTTCTTTCCCATCTTCTGGGTACTCAGGTCTTTGTTAATCTCATTTTCATACCCTGCAATTTCAACAATATAGTCTCAATATTCTTTGTTAACCAAGCTCTGAATTTTCAGCAGCAAAATGTTGCTGAGAGAGTAGTATGGTGTACAACATTCAACTGTGCATTATCAAGCATATTAGATTGGAAAATTATAATTAGTTTATATGACTTTTCTTTTTCTATGTTGAGGTGAATTTTTATACGTGCTTCAAGTCTGTTCTGTTGAGTTCAGCAGTAGAGATCAGTTGTTCCTTATGTACTGTTTAGTCAGTTTCAAAAGTGTCCAAAACTGTTTAGAACTAAACAGAATACTGCACTGGCAAGGTGTTTGGTATATCCAGGTTTAATCTCAGCTTATTAAAGCTCATCTCTAAAATGCTTTTTTAATTAAATAAAGAATAATTTGAAAGTATTTTTTATACAAACTGAATTTTATTCTTACAGTTTTTTCTACCAATAATTAAAATTTGTTAGAAAGATTTCTTGCTCTCTATAGTTTATACTTTCAATAGATAGATTATATTCTTCAAGAAAAATTGAAGGGAGACAACAGAGATAAAAATGTTTTTCTTCTCATACTTGAAAAACTTGTACCTAATATACACAAAAGTTGCATTATATAACAGATGAGCTTGCATAAGCAGTGCGCTTCTCTAACACAACCAGAGCTTTCCTCAATCTGCTTTATGGCCCTCTGTAGAGCACCAGTTGAATTAACAGGGAAGCTGAGTGGTGCTCCAGTAAAGGTCAAGATTAGAAGAAACAATGGTGATGACGTAGTCTGCAATTGCCTTTCTGACTCGGGTGTGGGCTCCTTGCTTTTGTAGCTCCATATCACCTTACTACTGCTCAGCTGGGGGACCCCTCTGGTAATAGGAGGCCATTATGCTTAATGGGGAAGGAGTTGAGGAGCAAAGCAAAATGTAATGAATTAATGTTTTCATCTACATTCCCTGTATCTGCCTTCCCCATCCAGCTGGCCTCTGACTGCCTAAATGACTGTCTGATTGTTACTAGGATCTCTAAGGATGGAACTCTCCGAGCAACAGACATCATGCACAAACCTAAAGAAACAAATAGAAGAACTTAAAATGGAGCTGAGGAGTGTGAGGACACTGAAGAAGCAACAGGCAAGGGACCAGTTTGTACTTCATTGCCATGTTGTGTTTAGCAAAAACAATAGTATCAAATTTTTTTCTCCACTGAAAATAAAAGTATACAGTCTCTTCCAGAAATTGAATGGGTTTTCTGCCTTTATGTCTCACTTTAAATATTTATAATTTTTTTTCCCTGTGGGCAGGCTTTTTCTTTCCAATTAAAGATCAGAATCTACAAAAGAAGCAAATGAATGAATGTTACACTAAAATAAATTCTGTGGAGACTGTAGAATATATTCAGGAAATTTTGATCCCTGATTTTGTCTTGCACATACGTAGCATGGCACATATAATTGACCCCACATCAAATCACAAAAATGCAATGCATACAATTCCAGGAGGATGTTAATGTTAAGAGTCTGTGAATAACTAAATTTGGCCTTTTTCTTAGGAAGGAAGTAGCCAAAGCCAGATCATATCTCTTCACAATGAACTGGAAAAATGTCAGAGTGAAATTTCTGAACTCAAGAGGGAGAATTTACTTTTGAAGGATGCAATGGAGCTGCTCAGTGCTGAGTTGGAGTCACAGAAGCAAGAAGCTGGACAGCTTCAGGACAGAGAAAAACAGCATAGAAGGTTTGCCTTGAATTCACACTTGAGAGTGCTATCTAGAGATTCAATAATAATGCCAGAGTGAGTGGTGTTCTAAGTATGATGCATGTCAGAATCTTTTCTTTCTAAAGTACTAATTTTAGAAACTAAGGATTTTGCAAAAGCAGTAGATAATTTCACATTCTTCTCCAGCCATAATACATGCATTTAAACTAATTGTTCATTAAATGGCACAGAAAAATATGTCTAGTGTATCCCCACAGGAATGACCTAAGAAAGTGTGCATAATTTCAGCCTTTCAAAGGCACTGGAGGACATAAATCCCAAACTCATCAAAGAGCTATTAAAAAATATACAAATCTCTGAGAATAAATATCAGATTTTTATACATACTCTCTGTAGCTGAAACCAATGCACTGTTAATTCCAAAGGGGACACTTGAGAATGCTATATATACCCTGTGAGAGTTTGCTTTGGCTGTAGCAGCCAGCTTTGCACAGGGGAAGTAAGGGCAGTGCCAATGGATCCTGACAGTGCCTCTGGGCTGATGGTGAGCCTGGCACTGTGGGAGGCTGTCAGGGCACAGGAAGGGCAAGGTGATTTGAGTCTTGGCCATCTTGTAGAAGGTAAACCATGTCTTAGTGTAGCCAGAGGGTCATGTTGCACATGTTGTGCAAATGAGTCTTCCCATTTCTGTTCAGAAAAAGTGTAGGATCTCAGGATCAATTAGGTTGGAAAAGACCTCTGAGATCATGGAGTCCAACCTGTGACCAAACACCTCTATGTCAACTAGACCATAGTACTGGCTACCACATCCATTCTTTCCTTAAACACATCTGGGCAGCCCATTCCAATGTCTAATCACCCTTCCTTTGAAGAAATTCTTCCTAATATCCAACCTAAACCTCCCCTGGCATGGCTTACAAAGTAGACAAGATGGGTTTCACTGCCCACTGCATTTGTATGGCTGTTGAATCCTGAAATTTCTGGATGAATGTACTTAACATATGCTCTTTGCAGAGAGACTGAGGGATCTGGTGTCTGGGTACCTTTCAATTCATTTTTTGCAGTGGTGTAGAATGTATGTCCCTAACTGCACAAGCTGTATATAGAAAAGGATTTCTGAAGAGTGTGTCCTTAAATCTTTAAAATTATGGCCTAGAGTCCAGAGATTAATTATGGCCCATATAGTCCAGAGAAAAGCACTCAATGGATAGAATGTCTCTCTGCAGACTGTCAGAGTGGCCAGAGTAATTCCATTCCTGTCTACCAGTCAGTAGATATTTAAAGAATGAGGAACTTTTTTTTTTTTTTTTGCCATTGCACTCTTTGGAGAGTTACTTCAAAGTGAATTTTATTTCAAGCTTTTGAAGCAAGATCAACAGAGAGAATTGCAAACCAGAGAGTTTCACTAATGCCCTGAAGCTACCTTGAAGGAATTTAGAGCCTCTGTTCATGAAGAGAAGAATTATTCACATGTCAGCGCTGAGGTCTAAAAGGCCTCAAATGCTAAGGCTGCTGGGCTGGAGGGATTTTCTTACAGGGAATGAATGGTGTAGCTCTACTGCAGTAAGCATTTGGGAAGGAATCATTAATGGAAATTATATAAGGAGAAGTCCTTCAAATAACTGGAGATAGAACTAAAGCATTGGAGTGGACCTGGGCCTCTGATACAGGCTGCTCTGAAATTAACCCATGGAAGACTTGAAAAACTAACTTGCAGCTCTTGTTTTGTTCTGGCCAGACTAATAATTTGTGTAGGGGAATAGTTAAATTGGTGCATATAAGTAATTGCTATTTTTACTTTTAAAAACAGTGCCCCCGTCTTATGCCAGTTTCTTTTCTGATTTGAAAGCTCATAGTGGCTTGTTGCTTGCATGTGACAATTTTTTATAACAAATTACTTAAAATTACTAGTCCTACTTTTGCCAAGTAAGTGAAACCCATAATCTGCTTGAAGTAATAATTCCTCTTTCCATTCTCTTGAATTGTGTGAATTCCACCTCCAGTACAGAAAGCTTTTACAAGGATGAGGATAAGTGCAGATAAAGGTGTTTTTATGGGAAGAAAGAACAAGTCCCCAAATGGCTCTTCTGAAGGAGAATATTCTACTCCTGAATATTCATTTCAAGGAATCCGTCTCTCTTTTTTACCCTTATTCTTCCGCTGCTTATTTTATGCTAAGTGCCAAATGAGTCACTTCCATGACTGTGCTGTAATTTCAAGGGGAGAAACCTTTCATGGACCTTTTGAAACAGAAACAAGTGAATACATTAAAAATAAGATAGGGGGAAATGAAAGATAAGCCTAATGTCTTTTGTGAAAATTACAATTGTTAATATGCTGAGTTAAGCCATGACTATTTTAATTAGTAAACCATAGAACATAGGCTCTCAATTGAGTTGAAGAAAAAGTTTCTCCAAGCAATAGCAAACAAAAATAAAACTATGATTCTTCAATAGATGCCTATTGCTTTTGAGATTGGTAATAGAATGCAGTATTATGGTTAGACTAAAGAAAATATTAGGCATTTTTTAGTTTTCAATTTATGGTGTTAATAATGTAGCAGTATCTTCCAAAATATATTGTGTGAAAAAGATTAATTTTGTAGTTAAAAGCATTGTTAAAGCATTTCTTCACTTTTTTTTTTTTTGTTAGTTTTAGGATGATGATAGGCAGTATGTAGTGAAATATATCATGAAAGCCTCATATTAATATGCCAGATATTTCAACATAATTTTACTTAATACAAATATGTTCCTATGGTACTTTGTTGTCATGTTTTACATTAAGATTGATGTACAAACAAACCCTAGACAGAATATTAATAGCACTGTTATATGGAAGAGACCTTGAATTTCCTGAAGGGTGAAGGTCAAGTACTTTACAAAATAATTTTTCTCTTCCTCAGTGTTTAAATATTTCTTCTCAGACTGCAACCAAAATGTCAGTCCAATCTATAGGCAGAAGCCAGATCTTTGCCCAGTTAACTACCTTTGCAGTCAATAAAACTGAAATCTGCATGCTTTGATCAATGATAATAAACTAATATTGAAACCTGAGAATTCAGACATATTTTAATACCAATGAAAGGCTACTGGTAGAAGACCTCAATATCAAGCATAGAAAAGAACTGGACATACTGAAACAAGATCACCGGAAGGAAATTGAAAACATAGTATCTGATTTCAGCAGCACTCAGGCACATCTCCAAGCAAAGATTTTCTCCTTAGAAACTGCGTAAGTAATTTAACAATAAACTCTGGCTCACACTGGCAATGAGTTCTGGTTTTATTTATTATTCTTAGTATGTACAGCTTTTTTATCAATCATAAGTGAAATATTATAAGGATCAAAATAAAGGTTTATAGGTATTGTCTTTGCAAACCAAAAAGACCCAGACACATTGTGATAAATTCTGGATATTGTAATAAATATTCTGGATAATCTAAAGCACTATACATGAAGTTTTACAATGCTAAATTAAAACTTGCATGTAGGATCTAGAAATTCTATAAAGTGTGAAATCATCTGTTTTACAGATGACACCAGAGGCCTTGCTCCATGATCTTGTACTTAATTTTGTTCAACAGAGCAGCATCATTGAGTAAAAGCTTGTTAACCTCATTCTCACTCCCATAAAAATTTCCAAGGAAAATTATGCTCATGTAAATAAATGCAGTTTGCAGCCCCCCGTGGATTTAAGAAGTTCAGTGGTGCTTCAGATTGAACAGCAGAGACCCATCAGAAATAATCCCTTATGTATATCCCTCCTCCTTTTCTCTTATCCCAATTGTTCAGAAGCAGCAGAAGTCCAGAAGAGAAACTTGGCATGTAAGCAGGCCTCTAATCTTTAAACCTTTCAGATGTGAAGATTTATCTTTTTATTTTAAATCAGAGACAACTCAAAGATAATAAGAGACAGGGGCGGTCCTCTCAAAAATGTTTACTCACACATTAAAAAAGGGAAATTTAAGGACTTTAAAAAGCTGAACTCAGACTACAGGTTTTGACTTATCAGGGTTACTAAAGCAGCATGTACATCCAAGCCTGTCTTCTTGACAGTTACAGGTATTGAGTGATTCTGAGGATTCCAAAGTTACTGGGTCAGAAAAGAGAACAAATATATGAATATACGTATGTATAGATACTCTGACACTGATTTCTTTCTTTAGGAGATTAGACTAGCAATATGATGTGCAAGCTTGTAATTATTTCACACAAGGGGATGGATTTTACACTGGAAAGGTGTTGTGGATTAACCCTGGAAATTTATTTTGGAACTCCAGAAGATTCTATACTTCTACATAAACCATGTACAGGTGCCCATTTTATAAAAATCCTGTTTTATTGGAAAGGCCTGGCTATGTCCTTGTATTTTAGGCTTGGAACATAGAGCAGAGTACATCCAAGGTTTCTCTTGAAAAATAATCTGAGGAAGTTTTTTTTCTGGTCTGCATTTTCTTTGGTACAGACTTAAAGAATTAGAAGAAAAGTCAAGAAAGTGGGAGTCCAGGCCTGAAGATACACACCTTATAAACTGTCTGCAAGACAAATTAAGTGAGAGAGAAGAGATTATCAAGCAGCTGGTGGTAAGACTGCTTTTTATATGGACATATGTATTTTGGAATCTATTGCAAGGCTCTATTCAGTGTTTCACACATTGCTTCATTCTGGTTGTTTCTGTTCAGAAATACTTTGACAAATGTATCTTTCCATATCAGTTTCCGATAAATACCTGTTTCCATACACACAACTTTGTTTCCCTTCAGGAAGGAAGAAAATGCCAGCATTCACTTTCAGCCAACACTGAATCTTACAGGAATCGGTCATTTTCTTTCAACCCTAATACAGCATGCCTGACTCCCTCCATGAAGGTAAGATGAGTAATGCAATTAAAATCACAAATTGTGATAGTTTTGTTACTATTTGAATCGTATCAGGACAATAAAAATGCTATCCATTTTTTATGTTATGTTATTCAGAAGAATTCTTTCTAGTGCTAACCTACAGTCAGTTGTTGAGCATAGGAGAAATTCATTAGAAGTATATATGCAACGTAGATAACAGGTGTTTAAGCCAATATAAAACACTAGAACTCTGACATCAGTCTTCTGTTGGGATAAGCATGGTCATTGCTTGCAGATTTGGGAGTTTCTAATCAGGATATTGAATGCATTGAGGAAAATTATGAATCTGTTTTAGTTGCCTGGTATCTGCCTTTTGTCACTCCAGCCCCTCTGCATGATATTTCTACAAATAACCATAGAAAGAAGGGAGGTCAAGTTGGTGGAAAGCTCCTTGATGTGTCTAACATCTCAGGGTCAAATACACGTTGTTTTAATTGGATGACAAAATACATGGATATAGCATACCCTGAAAATTTAATTTAAATGCTTATAGAAAAAGATAGAAATCTTCCTATTTGGGTGTTCCTTATAAAGTATTTGGGAATGAGTATTGTTAAGGTTTCATAGAATAAATTGTAAAAATATATGTATGTAATGAAGTTTTCTGTTGCAATAAAAAGCAGAAGAAAAAGGTTGAGATGCCCAGTCGTGTTGTCAGTGTTCCGAATTTAGCTTCCTACGCAAAGAGCTTTTTGAGCGGTGACTTGAGATCAAAAAGAAGTGCTCCTCAAATAACAAAATCTGCAAGCTTAGACCGGAGTTCTGGCTGCCTCCGGGTGGGCTCTCCATCAACACAGTCCTCAGACAGCGGTGCTGCCACAAGGTATTTGTCCATTTTGTATGATGATAAATGAATTCATATTTAGAATCTTGTAGGCAATTCAAATACATTTGACATGTAGAAATACACAACTATGTGTACACAGGGTTCCTACTGTGCAGTGAACTCTGTGTGTTTGGTTTTCTGTAGACAGATCCAGAACTTTACTGCAAAAGTGGGCTTCAATTCCTGCCCAGCAGACCTTATTAAAAAAAAAGGAAAAAGAGCTGCAAGTATTTAACTAAGAATTAACTAGTTAATTGTGAACATGGCATCTTTCCGTGGTTCTGTTAAAGATGTGTGTCTCGTGTGTCTTCCTTATTTTTATTGCTTCATCATGCACTTGGTAGATATGGATGCCATATTTTTATTTTAAGAGGTATTTGAATGAATCTAACCTGATCATTTGGCAAAATTTAGAGATTTGAAAACTGATTAGCATATACCTAACTTCTTTGGGTTCTTCTCTCTGAGGAGTTTCAGTTTGTCAAATTTTTGAATTATGTAAACTATGTTCAGTGTTATAACATTGTTAAACTCTCATAAACTCTCTCTTCAAGAAATAGTTAAAAATGTATGTAGCTAATATACAGTTAAAAAAGTCCAAAACTTACCACTGTATTTCAGGGCAAAATCTAGCCTTCTCAGCTATCTCCTGGTGGAGATTTAGTTATCCTGTAAATTATGTGCAAGAGAATTCTTTCCTTGGGGGCAGATGGTGCTGACTGCTGACAAAAAATCTGGAACACAGGCTTAGATCCTGTTTGGCAATTCACACTTCTTTAAGATAAAAACGTGCTGTGTCATGCCAGATGACTGCCAAGGCAAATGGGATTTCTGTTTTAAAGGGAAACAAATGTACAGGGAGTCTGAGGGTAGCTTGGCTTCTACTCAATTCTTTTAAATCAATCAATCATAAGTCCTTTTTGCTATCATATGTTAAAATAATCCTGAAAATCAGGACAGAAACTATGTAATAGGATTGATTATGAATGCCAGGTAGTGTTCAGATAAATCTCGTTTCAAATAGAACTTTTACCCAACATTTTTAATGCATAAATTGTATTTTGTATTTTTAAGAGTGAATTGCAGCAGCCATTCTCTGATTTGCAAAACTTCATATCCTTGAAGCATCCTTTGTTTAATTTCTTGGGGGTGTCAAGAACTATGTTCAAATGTTTCTCCATAGCTGTTAAGCTCTGCTTCATGCTTTTCTTCATGTTACAATCAGTGCTGCTAGTCCAGTTACCTGCCTGGCACAGATCCCACCAAAACTGTAGCTGGCACCTTTTGGCCTCATCCTCTCATGTGAGCACAGAGCCATTCATGGTATGATGAGTTTTTCTGGGAAAAGGATTACATGTTGGTAAGACTGTAAGTAAGTAGGTTGGTGATGCTAATGCTTATTTGTTTGCACAGGACACATGGCACTGAACCACCACAAACCAAAGATGACCAAAAACAAGACCCTCAGCATCAAGAATGGTTTACTAAGTATTTTTCATTTTAAAGCAAACTATTTCCGTACTTCTTAGAATTACTATAAAAGTCATTCCTGTTTTCTTTATAGGAATGATAATCCAATAGATGATTTAAGGGAAGAAAAAAAAAGTAATTTCTAAGTTAGGAAATACCTGCACTCTCTTAGATCTAGTAACTATGGAGTTACAGGCATGAATTTCAGGAAAATGCATTTTTTTTAACAATTTCTGTAAAAAATTAAGGAAAAGTTTGGACACAGTTATGTGAAAAGACTTTTTATGAAGAGACTCTATCAGTCCACAGTTTCATTAAATATGTAATTTGGACTCTGATATGTTCTGTTTTGTTCTGTCAATTTGGCAGCAGCTGAAAAAAATATCTTCCTTCTGCACATTTATATGCTTGCTTCATCAGCTGTTTAAAGTAAGTTCTGCATATAATAATGTAATTTTAAAGGTTTTTAATGCTTTTTGTTAAATTAATTTTAAGCTGCACAGCATGTAGTATACCTTAAAAACTAACATGTTTATAGCAGGCCGGTTTAGAAATAATTTCTGGTTTGCTTCCTAAACTGTTTTGTATAGTCAGCTATTTGCTATGTAATATTCCCACTGAATTTCAATATATGTATCAGCCTGTTAAATTAGGATGATATGTAACTATGAACATTAAAGTTTGTAAATTATCCAATTCCTGTGCATTTCAAAAGAGTTTTATGTTAATGCTGAATTAAGTCAGACTTGTACACAGAGTTCCAGTGATGGCAGCTGCACCCTTGTACCTTTTAACTCCATACTAATTTTATGCCCACATAAAAGCAAAGTGGAGGAATGACTACATATATCAGATCATGCTAATTCATTGCTGGCAGGAAAGAACCAATGAATAAGTTGGCTCTTGAGTAAGTAACCCATTAAGTATAAAAGGCAGGAAAATGTGCAACCAGCAGCCTGCTATTTAAGACAGGATAGTTCCTCTTCAATTCCTTTGAATCCCCATTTCATTTCAACTAACAGGGCCCAGCTAACTAAAAAAAATGTTCTACATGCAAAGAGGTACTTCCAGCCTAACCTCTTCTTACATCCAACAGCCAGCAAGAGCTACACCAGCAGATGCAATCACTTCATACAAAACAGCCACTGCATCTCACTGGTGGTGCAAAGGTGGAAGGAAGGGAAGAACACTTCTACATGCCAACACTTTTCATCCCAGCTACCTAGTATTTTTTCCAAGAGCAACTGTTTGGTTGGAAAAGTGAGTTTTCCAGTAGATTTGGAAAAAAAGGCACTTTCCATATTTGTAATCAAGAAAGATATTAAATAGTGTACAGTAACACTGGTGGGTACCTTGGCATCTGTGAGGATGAAAATGTACAGCACTGTTTTCATTACTTTTCATCCATGTTGCCCCAAGAACACTAGAAATTTCAATACACAATTAGCAAATCTTATTTCCAGGGTTACAATTAATTATTCAATGCTGGCCCTCTATAAAACTATATGTAGAAAAGTGGTTATATGGATAAATTAAATTTGTTGCTTAGTAATACATAGGACTCTTTTGCTATTTCTACCTCCAAAAGCTTTTTTGGCTACATTTAACTGACTAAATAGAGCACTGCAACAGAAGGTAATTCTGTATACTGGACAGTGGTGGTGATCCAACCTCCACAACGAGTGGTATTTTGTGGTAGGTGTTTTGGAACACCTCTTCAGTAGCCTGAGAGTCAGAACATTAGTAACATCAAGCCTTCATTACATATCCCACTCTTTTGTGTGTGTTTTTCCATTTCAATTCATTCCATAAGAACCAAGTTTTAATATACCAAGACACCTTCCATAAGGTGAGCCAGTACGATAGAGAGTGACAATTTACTTCAAAAAAAAAGTAATCTGACTTACATACAGACTATTCTAAGAGTGTTTCTGCAGTGGTACTCATGGATAATTACTGGGTCACAAACATTTAAATATTCCCAAAAAATCAAACACTAATCCTTGCAAATATTTTGATCATACCAAAAAGACAGAGGGGAAAGCAAGCACCACCCTCTCTAGAAGGAACAGGATGCATTCTGGGAGACACTCTTCTACCAGAAAGCACCCTGAACAGGAACTCTGATATTTTCCATTAAAACATGAAACCATATTTCTGTAATAAAACAAAAGAAGAAAATAAGAAAATTTATTTGGCTTAATTGTTTTAACACTATTTGCAGTACAAATTGCATTATACAAAAAGCATACAAAGAAAATACCATTGCTTTTAAAATATTGAGCTGTGTCAAATTGAAGATTATGTTTGCTTCATTGGAGCAGGAATATTTGCAGATGCTTGTTCTAGGTAAGCTAATGGACCTTGAGGCATTTCTGCAGGCTTTTTGTGCTGTACACTGATATCTTCCAGGACCTGTTGCCAGTGTCGCAGTTTACTCAAATGTTTCTGAATTAATGCTTCTTTTCTCTGCAATTCATTTCTTAATTCTGAAACATCCTATGGATGAAAAAATTGTGTGTTAGTATATAGACAGTATTCAAAATAACCACCCCACATAAAGAGCATGTAACTTTTTCAGACCTTAAGTTTTCAAGCTGAACTTATAGTGGAAAAATGGAATAATGGAGAAGTATCTAATAATACAGAGGGAAATCAGTGTGAATGCACTAGTGCCATTCACCTATGTCACACATTTCAGAGATCACCATCCACAGCAAAATCTGACTAACTAGTTTGTCTCTTCCAATGAATTATCAGCTGTGTGCCAATACCCCACACAGCAGCAGGTATCCAGCTTCTCCAGGTTTATGATGAGAGTTCTGGTAACAGTATCATGTTGAGAAACCCGAAATTATGAACACGGCGATGAAGGTACATAACTCATCTGATCTAGCACAGGACGGGTAGATAACATACCTCTTTAATTACTTGTTCTGGTTTCTGGACTGATAACTGCAGTCTTTTTTGTAGAAAAAAGCATTCCGTTTGTCTTGCAACATCCAGAAACTTTTGGATGCACTGATCAACGCCTAAACATATAATAACATTCAAAGAAGAGCTTCCAAAAAATAAGACTTCAGTCTGGTACTGGTGCTGGTCTATTAAAAACACTTTTCACATTACCTTCCAGAACGAAAATCTTCAGACTATCTAAAATAATGTATTTATAAACCAGTAGGTCCCCGTGTAATTCACTGCTTTGCAAACGTACAAGTTATTTTAGAAGTGCAGGGTAACACTTCCTCCCATGTTTTATTTTATTTCTGACAAGGAGTAATAAAATAATTCATGGAACTTGGTTGCATGCCTAAGCATCAAGCTCAGTGTAGAGTTCTAAACTATGTACTTATTGAGGAGAATATTCTGTCCTCATATACTACACACCACTGTCTTGGTAATAAAAGCTGTTCCATGACAGCACATGAATATGATCAAATATCCGGAAAAGATTTTTAAAGCATTTATGCCGATTTTGAAACGCCATTTGAGTGAAGTTTCAGAAAATTTTCAGGGACAACTGCGCTTCTAAGGAGTTGTCAAGAGCCACTTTACGAACTCCTGGTCATACCAATATTTATTCCACCTCCACGGAGGTGCGTCACTCAAGCCCTGAAGCAGCTACGGAGCTGCCTGGCCTTTCCATTTCCTGGGACTGCTTCATTCAGCTTCGAATGCACCACACCACCTCCGTGGCGCTTTAAACGCGTTCGCTGCACGCCAGCCCAGCCCCAGGAGACCTTCCCACCAACCCGGGCATTCCCGGCGGCTCCGCTCCCCCGGCTCCCCCGGCCCGGCTCACCGGTGCGGATCTCCTCCTGGTCCGTGCCGTTCACGTAGTCCTGGCTCACCAGCGAGGCGAAGCAGGCCTGCGGGCGGGGAAGCACGGCGCTGAGCGGCTGCGGGGGCCGGCGCGGCCGGCCCAGCGCCCGCCCGCGGCTGCCCCCTCACCTCGAAGGACGCTTCCAGCTCGTCCACCAGCGTGTTGTTGGGGTTGCGCGGCCCCGCGGGCGGCGGGATGAGGCCGGGCGGGCCGGGCGGCCCCGGCGGCGGCCCCGGGCCCTGCGAGCCGAACATGCCGCCCAGCGCGCCCGCCATGGCGGCGGCAGCGGCAGCGGCAGCGGCAGCGGGGCGGGCCCGGGCGGCCCCGCCCGCCGAGGGCCGGACCGGGGCATCGCCGCTCGCCCCGCCTCTGGGCCCTCCGGAAAGGTCTGGCGCCGCTCTCTTGGCACCTGCCTAAGAGATACTGTGATGCATCTAAGAACTGTACCCGGTGTGTCTAAGAAACGTCTTCGATTTCTCCAGTCTAAACAGACCCAGCTCCTACAGTCCCGCCTCGTAAAAGACCAGACGCTCCATCCCCGTAGCCCTCTGCTGGACCCTCTCCCGTAGCTCCATGTGTTTTTGCATTGACCAGCCCAGAACTGGACAGAGCGCTCCAGAAATGGCCTCAGCAGGGCAGAGGTGGGGAGGATCACCTCCTCAAGCCGCCGGCCACGCTCTTCCCACTCCACCCCAGGATACCACTGGCCCTGCTTCTGGAACAAGGCAAGCAGGGACAGCAAAGCCATCCTCCCCAGAGGGACCCTCCTCCTCCAGCCTTTGCCCTGCCTGCGTCTCACAGGTGCAAGCCTAGGTAAGCACTGTTGCAGCATCGCTTGTTCCACAGCAGCATTTAACAAAAACCCCAAAACCCACCCTAAACCAAAACAAATCCCCACCCCGTGGGCTTGGATCCCCCAAATTGTCAAGAAGACATCACCTCACATTTTAAGTGTCAGGTCTGTTTGATGTTCGAACTGATTCTGGATATAATGTCCCTACTTGGAGTGTGGCCACCTCACACCAGGAAAGAGGGAACTATCAGGATGACAAAAACCATGTGAGATAAGGGCAGGTCCCCCTAAAAAACACACAAACACTAACTTACACCCACTAGTTTTCTGAAAAAAAGTTACAATATACACTTCTTGACATGTTTATAACTTACTACATAATTCTATGCTGAAGCCACGCTAATGCTAAGCGCTCAGCATCATTTCTGCCTCAGCACATACGAAAAGCAGTTTCGTTTTTCTAAGGAAAAAATGCCAAAATGGTGTTTCTATTAAAAACTTTGCAGAGCTCCCATTGACACCACCTACACTCAAAACTGAGGTACATGTATTCTCTCTCAATCAAAATTGTTTATTCTCTGTCATTGTTTATTCTCTCTCAATCAAAACTCACATCCAAATAAGGTATTTATTGTTTACAACAGTTATGCCTACTTTACATATAAAACAGGTGTCTCAATAGTTCTCATTATCATGTTTTGGTATTAAATATTTCAGTAGTTCCAACAGAACAATTTTTATTTTAAGCTGCATAATATGGTGTGGGATGAAAAATCTCAAAGTTGAGATATTCTTACCCAAGTAATAATTTATAAAATGCATTTTTAGTTAATTGCCATAGTGAAAATATGCTTGGGGCATTCATATATGAATGATACCTTTTAAGATTTTTTAAGGCAGAGTGGATGATTTCAGAATAAGTATTTTTATTTGGCATTGTGACTGTCTTGACTTAATCGAGCTGCAAACTCAACAAGTGTTCTTGTGGGCCGCCCTGCCATGCCCTTCCGGAGATACGGCACCTCATCTTTATTTGACATGACCCCAGCTATATCCAAATGAGCCCAGTGAGAGGCAGTCACAAATTCCTTCAGGAATGCAGCAGCTGTGCATGCTCCTCCAGCTCTGTGGGAAACAGAAAGATGTATTGTTCCCAAAGCAATTCCAACAGCACACATATTAAAAATAGGTTGAAAGAAAGTGGCACATGGAAGGTATTGGTTCATCTTACCTGCTGTACTTTCCAATGTTACTCACATCTGCAAGAGGACAGTCTGTGACTTGTTTTGTGTAATGCTCAAAAAGAGGCATCCTCCAGACTCTGTCCCCTGTCAAAATGCTGGCCTAAAAAAAAAACAATGATATTTTGGGAATTTTTTTCTCTAACTGCACTTGTAAGCCCTGTTTTCATGCATGGGTTTTGTTTATGTTTTAACAGTCTAAAAATCTTCAGCCCAAGATACTAGGTTTTTGGAAATACACTGCAAAACAAAACAGGTAATCCTGCTTTTTAGGTACTTTAGTGCTAGCCTATGTCAAAAAGCAATGTCAAAAGACCACATTTTTTATCTGTTTTTCCTTTTCCCTGACAACAGAAATCCTTCCCCTCAGAGGCTTTCTTGATCTATCACAATTCAGCCACTCACAAGATCTTTCTGAATTTCTGTATCCGTGTTATTAATTTTTTAACATGAACTAATTACTGCCAGTAGTCCAGAGTTTATGCATATGTAGTGAGTTATCAGAACACGCAGATCCTTGAGATGTTTGGTGTATGATATTACTTCTCACTGAAAAGCTAGTAATAAACAGTCAACATTATTTTCAAATAAATATAGTACTGACATAATTCCTCTAAAACTTCAAAACATAACATCTTTCAGATTTGCATAAAGACTTTTAGTAGTGTACTAACTTTTCAATAAGACATATCACTGAATTATTACTATTATGATTTAACAATAATGCAGGTGACCTACCTCATAGAGGTGAGTCCAAAGCCAAGATGAATTTGTGAACACTCCAGTTGCAGCAGATCCCAACGCAACATCCATGGCACCTAAAGAAACACACCTTCAAGTTTATATGACAAAGGCAAAGGCGGACCTGAGCTATTTCCTGCATTCTGACTCCCCACAGAACTTTCCATTTTTAATTCCCATTGTCAGTAACAGGTACTTATCAGACTGCAGAACTTGAAGACTTTAGTACACTGACATTTTTGAAAGTTTGACCATCTTTAGAACATTTATATATTCTAAGAAACACAAGAAATCATAAAAATTATATTCTGTTTTCCATGAAACTAAATTTTCTGATTTCAGATTGATGTTTCTTAGAAATAGTTCTGAGATAATATATTAAACAATAACAGTATCCTCTAAAAAACCTAGATATTATTATTTTCATGTAGAAAAAACAATTGAATAAGCTTTTATAGACCTCTATAATTTTTGAGCTGATACTTTCTCTTTTGTGAATTTTACTTATAGACTTTTGCACATCATGTGTAAATATACTTTATTAAGTATTTATTAAAATACTCCTTATCAAAATATTAAACCATGGGATTAGATATTTAGCTATTTGATGCATCAGAACTGCTTCTCTAATACCAACACTCAATCCTTAGTGAGATGAAAAAAAAAATAGTTTAGCAAAATATGTCAAAGACATTTCTATGGGAGCCCTCCTTCTTCCTGCTTGGTGCCCAAGGATCCCAGATAGGAATACTTTTTTACAAGCCAACAATCTTAAAATCAGTTTCCCTTCTGTCTATTGAAGTTTTCCCCAGCATTTCAACTAGTAAAATAGATGGAACATAATTTAAGGCATTAGCAGAGAATCTATATAAGCATAATTATTTTGCTTAGCATATTAATTAAGCAACAGAGTAGAGTCCTATCTGAATTACTCTTCTGTGTTTGCTTTTATTTCAGCTAGAGTCACCTCACCCATGACACCTTGTTAGTGAGCTCATGCATACAAAATTACAGGTTTTAAATTTAAATTTACAACTTCATTATTATACAACTGTAAAAATGAAACAATTAAAACACATTTCATAATGCCTAAAAGTATGTAAATTACACAAAAAATACTTCAGTCAAATGAATGATGATGACTCTCTTGCCATCATGGAGGCCTGAGCCAGTTGACAGAGTGGGAGAACTGGCTCTGGCTGGGTCAGAGCTCAGGCACCCAGCAAGGCATTCAGGAACCTGTCTGGGCTCCAGATGGACTGAGCAGGACTCTTCCATGAACATGTCACCACCACTGCAGCACACAGGCCTGGGAGCCGAGAGGGTTCAGCTCAGAGAAGCACAGGGAAACACTGTGCAGAAACACTGAAGTCTGTCTAGGTTTTCCTGCTCTTGGCTCCAGCTGGGCTGAGCCAACCCAACTTCATCTCCACTGCTGAGCATGTACCCTACACGTCCCCTCCCCACTCCAGAGACACACAAGCTGTGCTCACTGCTGTCCTGAAACATGTAAAATAATTTCAGTTACCTTTGAATTAAGCACAACTAATCCACAGCCCAACTAATGAGTAACATAAAACTAACTTCAGAGTGAGTAGGGAAGGGACACTGCTTACCTGTTAATGTTGCAGCATTCACAATAGCCCTTGCATTAAAATTGTGGGCATAACAGAGAGCATCAGCTAGCAGCAGTCTTCCTTCTGCATCTGTATTATCTACCTTCAAAGGCAATATCAATAAAAAACAATAAAGTACTGTAAACATCTCTTTCACTGATGTATTTCTCACATATTATCTTAAATAGCTGTTGGATAGAGACCCTAGAAACTTCAGGTAATGAAAATTTACTCAAACTACACTGAAAAAAAGAAAGAAAAAATATAACATTGATATACAGTTATGTGTATAAAGTAAAAGCGTATCTTGTAGCTGAGATAAGTCATCCTTCAGCACCAAAACCTGGTCTGCATGCTGGGTCTCTGTACTGCTGGCTCCTCAGAAGAGCCTGGAGACTGGAGAGGCGTCTCAGGGGAGCACACAGGCTGCATCCTGTGCTTGGAGCTACCAGCACTTTCTTGCAGATTTCTGCTTCATGGGGGAATACATGCCCAGCCTTTTTCCCTCAAAGCAGAGGGTGACTGAACTCAGTTTTAAGAGATGAATGTCAAAGAAATGGAAGGTTTGGCAAGTCAAAAGTGGCAGAATCACAGAAATTCAGGCAAAAAGAAAGCCACCCACTTCTGCATTAAGTCAGTGATCTACAGCACAATGACTTTCAGGACATTTTAATCTATTAGATGCGTATGAAACCATTTGTAATAAATATGTATCTTGGGTACTGATTTGGCAAGCTCCTTTGAACCAACAGCCCCTGTGACACAGAGTTCTGATTGTACTGAGCATTTTGGCAGTGTAAAGACCATGGTTACATCAGCAGGAAACTGATGTCTTACTCCAGATAGCAAGGAATTCTCCTCAAGAGTCTGCTGGAAGCAATTGATGTTATTCATTTGG